GTGGCAAACACTTTTTGGAGAGATCTTACGTTTTTAAATCTCCTATCAGTGTAGTGATGTTATGCAAGCATACAATGCAGTTATTTAAAATAATTCCATGTTAAACATCAAATGGGTACATGAAATGTGGCATTAAAAATGGAGGAAAAAATCATCTATTCTTTATGAGCCTTGAGGCGACTTTTGTTGTGATTTGGTGCTATATAAATAAAATTGAATTGAATTGAATTGAATTATTAAGCCTATGTAACCAAAATATCAAAAACAAATGGAAGAATTTATTTTCTCTTCTTCTTTAAAATAAAATACTGGAGAAATATCTTTGGTGATGGGAACTGATGATGAGATATAGCAGACAACGTCAAATTGGACTCCTGGGAATGTGGCAAATCAGCATTTTTTCACTGCTGAATGACTGAAATCAGCCATGTCAGAAGTTCTTGTACAGTTTTTATTAGCATTACCTATAGCTGTCAACAACTGCCCTCATAGAGTTGCTAAATACCCCAACCTAAATGCCTATGGTTGTGCCGGGACACTTCCCTGTGGGAATCTAAACCCATTAAGCAGGTAAATATTTCCCAGCTCGATAAACACAGTCAAAATAAAATCATGTCTGTACATAACTCCTCAGACTGATCCTGTAAATGCTGCTGTAGGCCTGCGAGAAAAAAGGATTCAGTATTCAAATTCATGACTTGCGAGAAGGCGTGAAATCGATTGGTGCTGTTATGTTTTCCCATAAATCATGTTAAATGCTGTGCAAAGCGTGCCATGGGAGCAGTAAAACATTTGGCATGGTACCGGGGGGAAAACTTCCTGAGATGGGGGAGAAAGCAAAGAAGCATGGGATTAAAAATGAGTCTGTTATTGAAGTATGCATGTTGACACACCCCACAGTGCTCGATGGGAACTTACTAAAAGAAGCCAATATGCTACCCACAGGTAAACAGTAATCATCTTTGAGCTGAGCTTTAAGCTTCATCCTGCATTTCATCATGCGATCATATAAAAAAAAACGGAGCATTGTAATGCAACTTTTTGCAATGTGGTTTAGCATGTTGTTATTTGTGCTCTGTGGATTTATACAATGAAGCTTTGCATGATGAAAATCACACAGAATCAAATGGTCACTGTAAATTTTCCATGAACAGTCTCCAGACTGTTAACTTACAGATGCTTTTGTTGTTATTTAGAGTCCAGCCATTATCTTATTGTTGTTTGTGCATTTGTTAGTACAGTTGCTTATATAATCTTGTGCTATGTATGAGCAGGTTTGGGCGTGAATTTTGCTGTTAATGTTTGCTTCCTCACCAAAGGTGGCATTTAACTTAAAATCAATGTCATGCTGTATCGTATCTTAACTTATTGTATTGTAAAATATCGTATGATATCACTGTATCATACAGTATTGTGTCATTATCCTAAACTGTTTTCTCTTACCGTGTCAAGATGACTTACCCTTTTATAGCTTATCGTATTTTACGATATCATATCTCACATATCGTACAATATTCTGTCATAATGTATCATGACGTATCTTGACATATGCATTATCCACTTGTAGTGACTTTCACATATTTGATGTCATTTTTATAGTTTTTTTTAATTAATTACTTTTGTCCCAATTAAATAATACTATATCAGAGCTTGGAAGCACCCCAGCATTTTGTAAATTCCAGTGTTAAGTCCATGCAGCACCATTAATTACAACATTTAAAGAAGAAACTGATTTATATCTTTTACCAAGCTAAAGATGTAGCCGTCTCTGCAGGGTATGTTTCTTTGGCTTTTTGGTGTATTTTAATATTTGTACCAAGCGTTCCATACCTCAGATTATTATGTGTACCAGATCGTTTGTGTGGTCAAGAATGTGTCTTTTGATATAAACTCTGAAATGTAATGCTGCCTCTCTCTCTCTCAGGAAACTCACGCACTGACGCTGATGTGCCCAGTTTAGCCCACACTGGTACATTTCCTCTCCGTGTGCTTTAGTGTGTTTAACCAACCCATCTGGTTTGCTTTTCCTCCGGCATGTTCCTGTCTTTGTACCAGGCAAATATCAGATTATCTGGCTCTGGTGGTATTTTTATGGCTCCAAGCAAACTGAAGTCTTTCTCTTGGAAGATCCCAGTAGTTGGGAAAATGTTCCTGATATTCTCCGTGCTTGTTTTATTTAACCACATATTTGACTTTAAAGCAACTTAAACCAAACAGAGCATATCAAAACTGAATTATTTAACTTTGTGTCAAAAATTCAATAAAAGATCGAGTCGTTCGAATTCTGGCTTGAGTGCTCAAATCTGGTACTTTTGTTGCTTTTCTGACCATAGAGCATCACTAATTTACCTATACTTGTTACAGTGAGTTGATAAATTAGGGAGCTGTGTGTCTCCAATGACTATAATTAGAGATATCCACTCTCTATGACATCATTAAGATCCAAGAGTAGAAAAAACCCACCTCTTAAGGACTTCTTGTACTTAAACTGACTTTATTATTCAAAACTTTTCCAATGTTTAATCCACATTGGAGTTGCATTTTTTCCACAGCCTCTAGTTTTGTGCCTTTAATCATTTAGAAGACTTTGCTGAAGGCCCCATTTCAGAGCAAAGTTTGAGCTTGTCAAACATAATCATTGCAGGGAAGAGTTTCTTTCCTAAAAAAGCTCTGTGTGATTTTTGTTTTCAGGCAGTTATAATCCGAGGGTTTTTATCGAGTATCTCTAAATTATACACGAAATGCCTTTATGATTGTTTTGTTGGAGAAGAGGCTGCAACGCAACTCCTCTCGTGCTCTTAGAAAACCAGATCGATCCAAGCCTCTCCGGCAGCTCCCAGGGCCTCTGTCAACCACTTCACATGAGCTCTGTCGTCCAAAATGGCTGCCTCCCCGCTGCGTTTGGTCCATGGGGGGAAACGCCGAGGCCAACGGGTAATTTTGTGGCTCCGTCTGTTATCCTCATTCAGCCTGGACTTTTAACAAGGACGGGGGCTGAGCAAGCCTCCAGGAATTGAATTTCAAAACCCAGTGCTTGGGCTGGGACAGAAGCATTGTCAGTACTCTAAACCAGCAGTCTGCACAGAGTGAAGGCTGCCACTATTATTTTTGGATTAATCAACTCATTTTTCATCTTTAAATCTGTTTCCCCTCCCCCTAAAACCAAAACAATTTCAATTTGCTATATAAAACTTGAAGAATAACAACAAATCAAGAAGCTGAACCTGTGAGATATTAGTAATTTTTGATGTTTAGAGTAGACATGTTGGAGCTAAGGATGTTTTTATAGTTTCAAGATTTAGTATTTTGGAGTTTTAAAGGCGTTCCAGTGCTTGATTCTGTCAAATCACTGTGCTTTTTTAGTGTTGCTCTATATAAAAGCAAATTTGCACAGACCTTTTATGCCCTGTGAGAAAAAAAAACACAAGAGCACCACTAAAAAAACTTTACAACGAGCTCTACAAGACAAGGAAAAGCAAAATACTGTGACGGTAAAACACCAAGGCCGAAGAAAAGAAAAAATATCCAGAAGTGTAAAATGCATATCTCAATATCAGTGCGAGACAAACAGTAAAAACCAACAAACCAACTGAGTGTAGTAAAAACACTCCAGACTCCTTCAGTCCTTCTATCGCCCTTTAAGACCAGCTTCCATCTTCGAAAACCACCTGCTTCCTCCCTGAGGGGGTGTGCTAAGCTGCTTTGGGGCAGTTATTTTTTTCTCTTGTTTTTCTTTGCGATAAAAGCTGATCGATTAGTGCCAGAAAGGGAAGAGAAGGGAGAGCAGAGTTACGATGTTGTAAGATGACAGGAAGCAGGAGGCAGCTCCACCCTGATGGAAAGAGACAGTGATGTTCCGCTTTTGGTGTTTTTCTCACTTCATATTTCATCAGAGATTCTTGAGAAATTTGACAGTTTTGTAATAAGACAGCCAGCTGTTTCAAGATGAGGTCAGAGTCATGTTTGCATCACTTTTTATTTGTTTAGCACGTCTCAAACTGCATTCGGTTTGGCCCTGTGGGGTCTTCTGTGTTAAAACAAAATCAAAAGTGGAAAATAAATCCAACAACAAAGCAAAATAGTCTTTTTTTTTTACCCCCCAAGCAATCCTCATTGGTGTTTTAAATGTCATACACGTTTTAAAGCTTCAGCAAATTAACCGTTCATCTTCATCACCTGCAGCCACCATGAAGATGGGCCAGAACAACAACTCCAGCTACACCAGCGAGCGGAGCATCATGTTTGGAGGAAACAGCCAGAGCTCGGCGCTGCAGCCATCCTCCGCAACCTCCACTGCCCCCTCCTCCTTCACGACTTCCACAGTGACCTCCATCGATGGGGTGAACTTCTCTGAGGGAGACCTGCTGCTTCAGGTAACGCCTTTCACGTGCTTGTGGCTTATTTCAGACATTCTGATAGAACGAAGTTGGTAAAGCTTGTTTTTGATCTCCAGGCGTTGAGCGGCTTCGTGTTGGTGGTGACAGCTGAAGGCTACGTCTTCTACACGTCCCCCACCATTCAGGACTTCCTCGGCTTCCATCAGGTATAAGAGAAACATTATGATCAGTACTTCAGATCCTTGCACCACATAAAAAGTGGGATAAAAATGTCAAAAATGTTCATTGTTATAGTTATATTTGATTTTTTTTTTGCATGTGAAAAGTGGTAGGATCTATCATGAAGAATTCAAATGTATTTCCACCTAGCAGCATTGGGAAAAAAAGCTTTGAAACAGTCTGAAAAGTGGCAGCAAACCAACAAAACGACCGTTTGGACTAATCTAGCTTGAAATTTCACCTTCCATGACCCATCATCCAATAATTCAGGTGGAAAAAACACATGATGAACAGATGGTCAGTAACAGTTTAGTAACATAAAACTGTTTATACACAGAGCTCCTCATCAGGAAGTCAAGAATAGAAATCATAGCAGAAGAAAATAGATACCAAGTAAGAACTCCTTTAACCCTCTCAACCCTATCCCTACCCAACCCTGTATGTTGTTGCTGTTCCCTCATTGCCAAAATTTAACAACAACAAACACAAATTTCATGTTCCGATTGCCTAAGAGTAGGTTTGGCATCAACCTCAAAGGTTTAATAAACATCTTTAAAAACTCGTGCACACAATAATGATAAGAATTTTTAATAAAATGGAATTCTTGCAGTAGATTTTTCACTAGATCTCTCACAATGGGGTCTAATCTGTTTTTTTATTTGAGTAATAGCCTGAAATTTTATGTTATGGATAAACTTCCAGCAACCTTTTTGTCATTTATGGTCCAGTTTCTGATCATCCCGTCAGGCAACACTCAAAATCACAGAACAAAGGAAAAATCAAATATGTTTAATAATTAATCCCCATCAAAAGAAACCATCAACAACAACCAAGTTGCAGCTGGAGAAGCTGTGTAGTCTTGCTTGCTTGAGGCTGGTGGCTGATAAAGGGGAGATCATAGGTACTGTTGTATGACAAACCAAGAAATAAACACGGGTTTTGTTTATTCAAAGAATCGAAGCTAAAATGTGTGTAACTTCAACCAGGAGAGTATGAAAGGAGCTAACAAGAAGTGGTAGTCTCTCCTATGCCAACCCTAGGCCATGCCTCTGTGCACACTTGAGGTGTAGGCAGTTAGCATGCACAACTCAAACATTCTTAAATCAATACCACAAAGCCAGTAATGATTGCCAAGAGTGTAACGCTGATGTGCCAAGCTAAAATCAAACTGTAGCCCAGGGGTGTCTCGCTCATTTTAGCAGCCCGGGGCACATACGCTCCAATTTGGTCTCAGCTGGCCTCAACCTGTGTAACCCTTCACTGTGCAGGTTTGATTTATTTTTACAAGGCAAACATGGGAAAAAAATCAAGTTTTAGAATAAAAAGCTGCACTTTTAAAACTTTAAAGAGACTTTAGTTTGAGTTTATTTTGAAATTAAATCTTATTCTAGCAAGAAGAACAAATACATTTGTATTAATGTCTTGATGAATTGATTCTCATCCAGGTAATGAAATCCCAGAAAGGGATATTTGCATTAAATAACAAGTGATATCGAGATGCTCAGGATTGTCCAGTTGTTCGAGTCGTCTCTGTTGAAAGTGTAACTTTTAAACGTGCCACCGATGTGTTGTTTGCTCGTCCAGCAGCAGTTAGTTTAGTGATTACTTAATGGGTCGTTACCCATACAGTGCTCAAGATCAAGGACCTATTTGTCATTTTACAGCCACATTTCCCTTTTCACAAGAATTACTGTTCCTTCCAAAGTATTTCAGTGAAATGAGATCAAATCATCCTTAATATGACAGTTTGCAAGTCTCCTTGGGATTCTCAGTGTACTTAAACTGGTCCACCCAAGACCCAAGGAAAAACAGTATCTTTCAATGGGCTGGGGCTCAGGAGAATATAGCCAACCAGTAACCTGTGAACTGCGACAGATTCTGATTCTGAAATTGAAGGTTTTTTTTAAACGACCCAAAGGCCTGACAGTGAGGCTAAACCTTTGCACATAACTTGTCTTTGTATTTTAGAGTAAGTCTGTCCTAAATCCGAAGGCGGGCCGTGTTTTTCCTTTTATGGAGCAACAACGGTCAGTTTCCAGAAATGATCAAATCAGCTGGTAAAAAGAGAAGACTGCATGCAGAAATAAGTTTTTACTGCACAAGAACCTGTTTCCACTTCAGTGACCTCCTGAACTCTGATGTTCCTCTTAAAAACATCCTTTAACAGTACACCGCCACAGTTTTTTAGCCTTTCATCTAACAAGCAGTGGGTTTCAGTTCACATTTGTTGTCCATGAAAGTCAGGTCACACAGATTTCAATCTATTGCCTTCTTTTTTTCCTCACAAACAAGGACTGCTTGTAAATCCTAGAACAATCTTTTGACTTTTAATAGCTGATCAAAAACACAACAAAAACCTAACAAGGAGTATTTGACTTAGGATTTAAAATCAATCAGGGACTCACATTTAGAGATGTTGAAATGTTTCACACATGACCAATTGATGTAACAGGATCAAAAATAGTATTTTTCCAATTTTCAAAGTAAATCAAACAATTTTGCATTTTGTTCACAGTCACTTGTGATGCTTTGACTTGAATAAATACCTGCAGCCCCACATGGCATGCATGGATTGGTCCAATTGAGTATCAGGACCAGCCAGGGTCTGGCTGTGAATCATGTTTTCTGCTGTTCTTCTACACGTCCTGCAGTTCAGTCGTTGACACAGATCTTAGGCGTAACGTATACGTTGGACTCGGTTAAATCCTTTTGAATCCATTCAAAGATTACAGCTACTTCAACCTCCATGATCCCACACAGCCTTGACCAGTTTATAATAGACAACTCCACCTTCATAAGTCGGTCTCAAGTCAGTCTTTTTCTCATTTTGACATTTAGGTTTTTTTTGTACTTTGCTTGTTCAGCGAGTGAAATTCAGTCGCGTTAACATCAGCAGCAGCCAGTAAAGACATATTACTGGTGGGTACACCACACTTCTTTAAATAAAGCAGGAGAAATCATGGACTCCACCTAAGATTTGGCCATAAAATCCAGTGACAAGGCTTCAGTGAGTCTTTTTCTCAGCTTTAGGTTCCGATAAAATAAAAACATTTACCATTATAGGTTTTTTGTCTTTGCTCATATAGATAGTGCGTTTCAGTCACACAAACGCTTAATCTAAATTGGGATTTTGGAGAAACCCACAGCTGGTTGTGATTCGGATTCTTTCCTTTGACTTTAATAAATACCTGCAGCTTAATCAAGGTCTCCAGGTTGTAATGTTTTGTGCTCCTTTTCTGCACACCCTACAGGTCAGCTGATATAGATGGATTTCATGAGTCTAAAGTGGGCTTTTTTTGTAATGAAGCAGCTTTTGTCTGACTAAACCCTGTACTCCACCTAAGCTCTCAGATTTAGAACGGCTCAGGACGGTCAGGCAGGGTATAGTTAATGTGTGTAAACTGGCCCTATGGTTACCAAGCCTTAGAAACAAGCCACGACTCAGCAGTAGGGACATGACATTGTTGTAGTTAGACAAACAGCACTACAGGTTTTTACCCGACTTGTTTCAGTACATCCTAAAAGTTACATCAGAAACATTAACATTTAAAATGTGACTTTTGAAAAATAAAAAAGTTGCTTCATCACTTCTTAAGAAAGATTTATTTTTTAAAGTTTCGGTATTTCAAATGACTAAGTAGTCGAGTTGTGTGTGAGTGATGTGTCTGCGTTTGTTTCTGTGAGTATGCGTGCGTGCGTGCATGACAACTGCTTTGTGAGCGGTGAACTCTTGACTTATAAACAAATCCGTTTGAACCGGGGTTAAAGATGTAGTCTGTAGTCTGGGAAGAAAAAGCACAAGCAAAAGAAAAAAAACCCCTAAAAAATGTTGCCTGGAGAGAGTGCACGTGGTAAACAGCCCTCATACACACACACACACTCACACACACACACATTTGAACACTCGTTCACATGCATGACATGGTCTGAAGTGGGGCTGCAGATCAGGGCAGGAAACGTTTTGTTTTGGAGGCTGCAGTGACTTTTAAAACCCCAACTCACCAGCTGCTTCAACTGTTTATGACTTTATAAAGTGTATTTATAGAGCAGCTCTGAGTACAGTCATGGAGGAGACAAAAGAGGAAACAGACGTGAAGAAAACATGGAGATTACTGTAAAAATCAAGGGGCTGAGTATTTCTCTAGAAAAAGCCACAAATCCTCACTTTAGGACTGCTTTGTGCACAGCGAATCCTCATGAGAAGTTCGAGGCCATTTTTCAGCGTCTCTCACAAAGGAGGGTTTTGTGTTGGGCTTTGTTTGCTGAGGTGTGGCTCTCTCAGCACCTTGCTCCTTTAGCAACAACAACAGCGCCTCTGTTTCCAGCCCCGTCCATCAGCTCTGACTGCTGGGAGCATTATTCGCTCCACGTGTGTTTACACCTGCATCATCGCTCTTGAACGCACCTCGGCAGGACAAACACTGGAAAGGTGGGAAGGCGTAGGACCGAGTCTGTGGAACCATTATTTAATATTTGTCGTTCTCAGAAAGTGACGTCCTTTACACCTTTTGTTAGTGCAGTTTGTGAGCCTGATGCTCACGAAAACCAGGATGGAGGTCAACATTGTTTACATTTACTCAAAAAGCTTTAAAATAAAGGCAAGCCCACCTCTGCTTTCTGTCTCACAGTAGCCACAATGGTAATGTAATAAGTCACACTCTACAAAAATAAAATGTCAATATCACTATATATAAATTCAAATCAGGTGTATGCATTTAATTTAAAAAGTTTCAAACTAGCTTTGGGTGGTTGTTTAAGTGTATTTAGTCAGATAAACATGCAAACACATTTGCACAGAAGAAGTGTCTAAATTTCCTCCACACTGCTGGAGGTACTTTTACGATGTGATTAAGAGTCTTTTCATAAGTTAATTTTAATGTTATTGCGGTTTTGTATCGCTTGTTATTTCACACCTTTATTTAAGACATGTGAGGGTCATTTTCCTGTGTTGTATTAACAAAACGGGGTTGGGGACTTTTTTTTTTTTTTTAAGGTAACTTTAACTTATGGTAACTTCATTCTATGGGAGAAATATTTTCAGTCAAATGTAAATATGTACTGTGCAAAAATATTGCACCACCCTTCGTTTCTTTCTGTTTTGCTTCCAAGGAGCCAGACTGTTTTTTAAGGTGGCCTTGAGCAATAGTTTATCCAGACTTCCTGAAAGCAGAAGTCAGAACAAAAGGCAAAAAACATCCAAATAAGATTCCATCAAGGAGCCTGGAGAACTATTCCTGAAGACTACTTTTAGTTTTTTTTTAATTAAGAGTTTTTGATTACCTTTCTGGTGTTTTCCATGGTGATTTTCCCTGCGTTGCATTTGCAATTTAACATATCATAATATTATAGTTTTTTTTTTTTACCAATTTTTTTGTTATTTAATGAGAGAACAGAAAAACATAAAAATGACAATAAATTCATGCAAAAGAGATAAACAGTTAAAAAACAAAACCAACTACAAAACCAACCAAAGAAGAAGAAAAGAGACTGCATAGAGATAAAGAACTAGTAAAACTGTTCTCACAGTGATGTGAAATCATAAAGGAAATGGGTGAAACTAGTAAAGAAGACACAAAGCAACTGCAAAAATATCATGAAACGATGTAAAGTGAGTGGAAAAAATAAACAAAACAAGCAAAGTGAAAAAATCAAAGACATAAAAGCACTGTAGGAAAACTAGATGGAACAAGCAAAGGAGAAATAGGACCAAGAAGAAAGATGATGGATTGTAAGCGCAATTGATAAAATGAAGAAATAAGCTTAACTGAAAATATTTTAAAAGGTTAAAAAAGACAAAGCACTAGATGTGAAAAGCAACCGCTTGTGTCAGAGGAAAGTTTTGAGAGTGATTCGTGTCGTTAAAAATATGTTTCTGCTTCCTGCTTCCAGTCGGACGTCGTCCATCAGAGCGTGTTTGAGCTGATCCACACAGACGACCGAGCTTTCTTCAGACAGCAGCTCCACTTCTCTCTCAACCCAAACACAGAGGGCGCCGACGGCCCCAGTAAGTCTGCCCACACTTCACAGTGATCACACCTGTCCAGGTGACCTGCAGAGGAGGAGCCAGAAACATGGCCACGTCTCTTTGCTGCTGCAGTCTACATTTTCCAGTGTGATTTTGTGTATCTGCGGTGCTCGTTTTAATTCTTTTGCATCTTATTGCTTCGTGTAATAATCTAAAGATGAATGTTTCCTCATCGCTCCAGGTGACCAGAGCAACCCTGAGATCAGCAGCAACATAGTGAGCTACAACCCGCATGCCATCCCTCCAGAGAACTCGTCCTTCCTGGAGAGGAACTTCTGCTGCCGCCTGCGCTGCCTGCTCGACAACTCGTCTGGCTTCCTGGTAAACACGCACACCAACACGCCTCACTGCACCGGGATCCACAAGATGTTCCTGGCCTAAAGGGAGGTCTTTATTCTTAAAACTGTGTGCTTGTCTTTAGGCTTTGAACTTCCACGGCCGCCTCAAGTTTCTCCACAATCAGAACCACGTGTCGGAGGACGGGTCACTGGTTCCTCCGCAGCTTGCTCTGTTTGCCATCGCAACGCCGATGCAGCAGCCATCCATCCTGGAGATCCGCACCAAGACGCTCATGTTCCAGACCAAACACAAGATGGACTTCACACCCATAGGCGTCGACGCAAGGTAAGGCACAGAGAGCTGTTTGAATCTCTCACTGAATGTCTGAATGAAGCTGTGGCGCTCAAGTGAAGTCTGGCGTGTGTTTCGTCCACAGAGCGAAGCTGGTTCTGGGCTACTCCGAGATAGAGATCAGTAGTAAAGGCTCGGGCTACAACTTCATCCATGCTGCCGACATGTTGTACTGCGCAGAAAACCATGTCAGAAGTAAGTCTGAAGCTCCGCTCGGTTTACAAAAGGCGAAAAATGCCAAAATAGGCACAACCGGTTTTAAATTCTGTGTGCATCACATGGGTTCCATAACTCAAGAAATCTGTTGCTATCTGCCAGCTGCTGTGCAGCAAAATCTAAAAATGACACGTCTTCTTGCAGTGATGAAAACTGGAGAGAGTGGCATAACCGTCTTCAGGCTGCTGTCCAAGGCCGGCCGGTGGGTCTGGGTCCAGGCTAACGCCCGGCTCATCATAAAAAACGGGAAACCCGAGTTCATCGTGGCCCAGCAGAGAGCTTTGACGTAAGTCTGCTGACTTGTTTCCTCCAGCAGGAACATGAAGAAGAATTCATTAAAGCCGCAGTCAGATGTTTATCTGCTGCTTCACAATCAGTTTGCTTTGCTTTCTTTCTTTTCTTCTAGTTCACTTTTATTTTTTGGTTCAACTCTTCCTGTTGGTTCCTTTCCCTTGTTCCTTGTTTCCTTTCCTCTCTGCGTTTTTTCACTTCTCGTTTCATCCCCTCATCGTGTACTTTATGCTTTCGCTACTTGGTTCCTTTATTGTTTCCTCCCTTTCCTCTGTTTCTGACCTTTTCTCTTAATTCTTCCCTTTTTCTTGTGTCCTTAATCTTTCCTCCCCTCGTTTTCTTCATCATTTCTTCTCCTCTTCTTGTTCCCTTCGTTATTTGCTCTCTTGTCCTCGTTTCCAACTTTGTTTCCTCTCCTCTTGTTACTAATTGCTCCCACTCCTCTCCTCGTTTCCTTTGTTTTTTCCTGTATTTTCTTGTTTGTTCTCCTTGTTTACTGTCTTTGCTTCCCTTGCTTCCTGTCATTTAATCTTTTTTCTAGTGTGTGATTTTCTCTTGTTTCATCTCCTTGTTGTGTACTTTATTTTCTCTCCTCTTCTTAACTCTTTCACTGTTTCCACTCCTCTCCTCATTTCCTTTGTTTTTTCTCCCATTTGCTTGTTACTTATCTTTGTTTACATATTTTTTCCTCTCCTTGTTTACTTTGTTTTCTCTTCTCCATTCTTGTATCTGTTTTTTTTTCTTGTTTCATCTTGTGGTTTCTTTCATTGTTTCCTTCCCTCTCTTGGTTTTTCCTCTTATTTCCTTATTTCATTATGTCTTTTTGACTCCTGTTTCCTGTTTTGTTTCTTTTCCTCTTCCTATTTTCTTCACTGCTTCCACTCCTCTCTTCCATCCCTTTCTTTGCTTTTTTCCTCACATTTCCTTGTTTCTCATCTTTGTTTACATTGTTTGTTTCCTCTCAATATTGCCTGTCCTTTTTTCCTTGTTTCCTCTACTCCTCTTTCATTATTTCCTTTGCTCCTTTTGTTTCCTTTGTTATTTATTTTCCTGTACTTGTTACTTTCATTATTTCCTCTCCTTTGTTTCCTCCCCTCTCATCTGATCTCATTTCCCTGTGTCCTTGGTATGTCATTTCTTCTCTTATTTCCTCTCTGTGTATTCCCTTTGTTATCTCTCCTCCTTTCCTTAAATGTTCCTCTCCTCTCCTCAGTTTCTCTTCTTCCCTGAGTCCTTCATGTTTCCTCTCCTTATTTCCTGTGCTGTTTCCTCACTCTCATAAAGACAGAGGTGTTTGGCTCAGTAAATGGAAAGCTTGTTTTGGACCCAGTGGAAAACTCACTCATGTGTTCACCTGCAGAAATGAAGAAGGAGAAGAGCAGCTTCGCCTCAGACGTCTGCAGGTGCCATTTAACTACGCCACAGGAGAGGCGCTGCTGTATGATGTCACCCCCAACATTGAGCCCCGTGACCCGTGCTCCGCCCCCAAGCAGGGGAAGTTTGACAGTGACGCCATCAGTCGCGACTCCTTGCTGGGCTGCATGCTGAATCAGGACCATTCGCTCTATTGCGATCAGAACAGCGCCAACACCCTCAGCAACCTCAACGACATGGTCTTCGGGGATACCAACGCCACACTCAATGTCCCCGGAGACACGGAGCCCAGCCCGGCAGTGGGAAACGTAGTGAAAGCAGAAGCCACAGTTCAGGAAATCATGGAGTCCCTGCAGCAGATCTTTGGGGACGGTGAGCTCATCGAAAGCCTGCACGTTGAGCCTGATGAGCTCAAGAGCTGGGAGAGCACGCTGTTGCAGATGAGCTGCCACGGTGGGTTCGGCGACGACCTCAGCGACATTCTCAACAATGACATCCTGTCTTACGTGGAGGAGCAGCTGCAGAAGGATATCGGACTCAACCTGCCGCAACAGATTGACGGCATCCCAGCCTGCCTCTCTGGTTTGGACCAACTTCAAAACCAGGATCCAGATCAAGGCGGGGAGCTGAACTTTGACTGGGCTCTCGAGACGCAGACCCAGCTGATACCCAACGGAGTGCAGATGGCAGCGGTCCAGCAGACGATGAAACTGAGCCACATGGACTTTCCTCAGCCTAATTCTTCTGGTCCCAATGGACTGACCTTTAACAACGTCCTGCCAAACAGCTTTCCTCAAACACAAAGTCAGCTAAAGGCCAGCAGCATGGACAACAACCTCGGAGCGTTCCCGCTCAGGCAGCCTTCAACCAACCCAGTGCCTCTTCACATGATCCCAGCCAACCAAACATTTGGCCTCCAGGACCAAAACAAGGAAGGACAGTTAAATAATGTCTTTACCTTCCAGGGCACCAAGTGCAGCAAATCAATGTCACACCAAGCAGACAGCTGTGGAGAAACATTTGCCTCCAATATTTCAAACAAGGCTGTTTTCTCTTCATCACTCAGCTGCATGCAGAGCCACTTCCCTGTACAGACCCCAAACGGCAACAGTCAGAGGCAGGTGTGGCCTCAGCAGCAGCAGCTGATCACGGGTCAGCAGATGGGCTCTTTCCAGAGGAACCCCACAGACATCGGCTCTCTCAACAAGTTCATGACTCCAGAGACTTCTAATCCACTTCCTGTTCAGCAGATCTTGGAGCAGTCGCCGGCTTCTACAAGCTGTATGTACAGAAATGCCGCCCCAGGACTGCCTGTGAACGGCGTGCACCACAGTCAGCCGAGGTTGAACCCGGCCCCCAGTCAAATTCCCTCCAATCCCTCCTGCTTTTACCAGGTCGGAGAAAGAGCCATATCAGGAATGGCTTCGATCCCAAATTTGGATGAGGCCTCACTGTCCTGTCAGATGCCCACTGGTCTGAAACCGAACGGCCTGCTGGGGCAGCAGAAGCAATATCTGAACTTCAGTGAGCAGACGCAGGTAAAGAGCCAATTCAGCAACATTAATCTTTGTAGAGCTGTGAAGTTGAATGGTTTGAGGTTTTAATACAGACACTGATGCCGATATTTGGTTATTAATCTGGCAGTATCTTTTTTGTCTTTTAGACACACGAAACACAAACAGACTTCCCTAAAATTTGTTGTGGGGCATTATTTATGAGTCCTTACTAAGATAATAATTCAGTTTAAATCCAATTCAATTCAATTTTATTCATATAGCACCAAATCACATCAACATCATCACTCAGTTGAAGGGTGTTTCTCCCATCTCTTCTTTAGTCTGCATTTAAAAATGTCAATTATCAGTGGTTATAAATGCGGTGTATCTACAAACAGCTAATATTGGCCGATATATCCTGATATATTGGCACCACTGATATATCGGTCAGGCTCTAGTAAGATGAATTTGGATCATAGATGCTGTCAGATTGTGTTCAGACGCATTTCCATTTTCAAATTAAGTACAAATGTAAAAAAATCCTAACATCAGAAGATTGTACTGTGAAGGAGGACTTGGAACTTTGACAGCTAGTTTTTGGTTTATCTCTGCGTTTTCAGGGTTATGAAGGGGGTTGAGTTCCAGTTAACATGTGCCACCTACTAATCAGTCAACAGATGTGCAGTTCATAGTTGTTTACTGGTGGATCTCATGGCGCGTCCACACCAAGTTCTACCTCATGATACTCGTGTACATGAAGACCTGTAAATATTCACCCCTGGCAACCGACTGATAAGGACATTACAGATCATATTTTTGCAGTTTACCGTGAAGTCATATCAGTCAGCTCACTTTGCTCCAAATAAAACTTGAAGCATTTAGCTCCAGGAGCCCTCACACACTGTCAGTGAGCTTAGGCTCCAGGTCTGATTGCCGGTGGTCTCAGGCGAATGTCAGCTGATGGATTTTTGTGAGTCAGAAGTTGAATTATTTTAACTCACGTGAATGTGGTTTCGCCGCTGTTCACATCACCTGGTGTTAGTTTGTTTCAGTTTGTCTTTATCACAAACTCATCGTATGTAATTGCAGCACGAGATGACCTTTCAAACAGTTTTTTAACAACTTAGCCAGTCCCAGCTGTCACAGGGCGGGAGGTGAGGGACACCAGCTCAGAAAGACACACACAGCTGTTCACACTCATGTTCACACTTACGACCAATTTAAAGTCATCACTTAACTCAGCAAGCACATCTTTGTGGTGTGTTTCTCAACACAGGGGCAACTACAGTAACACTTTCTGGTAAAACACTGCCCCCTCGTGGGGAAAACTTTGCAGCCTCTAATTACCATGTGCTATACTTTTCTCCTTTAGAATCTACAACTGTTGTCTTATGTGATGTATTTTTATACACATGACTTTGGTGTATCTGCTATAGCTTATAATTGCTCACAGAGGGGTCGATCAGATGTGTTCTTGACGCAGCTAGAAATTTAATGTCAGTGTTTTTCATCCGCATACAGTGGCACTCCAAGTCCTTTCATGTCTGGGTGATTTTGGTCTAGAAACAGTTGTTTTTTTAATGTTTAAAAAACTAAATTCAGCTGAATTTTAACAGTTCCACTATTAGTCGAACTGTTGGATCAGTTTGTGTTGGTAGGTTGCATTTGCATCCTTTCTGTGGTGTCTGAAGAAATTAGTCCTTCTCACTTGTCGTTTGTCTTCACACAGATGAACAACCGTCCAGTTGTCGGGAACGGAGTTTTCCCCTTCCCTTCGCTGCCCAATGGGAACATGTGCTACTCAGAGAACAAATAGGAATCAGTCGCTGTGACTTCTGGACGGCAGAGGATCTCAACTTGAACTGAAAGGAAAAGACTGAAGAATAAGAAAGTGCCAGAAAATGGACGAGAAGACAATCAAAGGCACCCCTCCCTCCCTCTTTTTATTTCTTTTCTTTTCTTTCTCTTATGACGAAACAGTGATGAAAGCTGTTAGAGTTCATGTTTGGTTCAGGGTGGCTCAACAGGACGAAAAATCAGGATAAAAGCTTGGATTCCTCTTTCGGATGCGGTTGGATTGTACCAATGCAAAACGACTGCTTGGCGAGAATATTTGGATGTATGGGAACCAAAATGAGTCCAGTCTGACTGAGTTGATCCCTCTGATGGAAACAAGTTAAAGGGCGCTGCTTTTTAACAGAGGTAGGTGAAGCTGACATGACCAACCAATCAGACCTCAGCCACCAAAACCCAGTTAACCGACTCAAATTGTTTTAATATATTTGAAATGAGTTTTTAAACCAAAAAATGCCCCAAATTTTGAAAACAGGTTTTCCAACAGCTGGCAGAAACTCAGCAAAAAAAGGAAGGAGGCTCCACCTGGTGGTGCTATCCAGCAATTGCACTTTAAAAACCAATTAATTAAGAGGAAGATCACTATATTAGTAAGGTCATTTATATATTCTGCCACAGATGAGGACTGGCTGGTTGGTTTAGCGTCCCCCTGTTGTAATAAAAAGCAGATGATTTCCCTTCTCCTTTATTTTTTATTCTTTTTAAAAATCCCCTTACTGTGTGGATGGGACGTTTCTGGGTGGGACAGATGGACCTGGAAGTTAAAGGAAACATCACTGAGGCAACCGCCTGTCAATCCTCTGCCGTCTGCAATGTACACAATTTCGACACCTTTGCTAATTTGAACGCTCAGAAGGATAGCATATACCAACCTTTTTTTTAAAACATTGCTGTTTTATGTCCCTTTGAACAGGCATCCTGATTCAGTTCATTTCAAGTCTTTACTGTCCCAGTGAGGGAGATTTGCTTTGCAGACAGGGTAGAAAATTATTGTAGTTTAAAAAGAAAAGAAACGCACAACCAGACATCGGCATCATCCTACTAACAGACCATATGTAAGATTTAATTCAGTGAAAACAGCTGCTTGTTGATATATTTTAAGAGCTTTGTCACTGAGCCAGTTTTCTTTCCTTCCTTTTCCTTTTGTGTTGTTGCTTTATTTTTATTGTACCAGGAAAAAAATTGCAGTGCCTTAAACTGACAGGAACTTTAAAGGGACAGTCAGTAGAGATTAATTAGAAGACCAAAGTTGCCCTTGCCTTAACTAAGTCACGCAGGCCCAAATAACCTCCAGCCACTAGGGAGAAGCATGCATTCTCCAAACAAGCAGTGCTCGAGGTTGCAGTCAATCACAAAAAACTTCTTTGTGGTTGTTTAAATTGTTACCAGATTGCTGCGGTCACCTATTTGTTTCCATGAATGACAACTTTTTTTTACAGTTTCACTACCACTAAAATAGTTTGCAGACAAGTGAGCGTCAACTGCTTCAATCTGCTAGCGACCAACGCACTTGCAAGGAGATTTTTGGCGCAAATGATTCACCCAGCAACTGCAAGCAACCATTGTTTGCCTGTGTGACTGAAGCTTTAGCCATTATTTGAGATTTTTTTTTTGCACTACTCCTTTAAATTGTTTGACTTGCCAAAGCACAGTGAGAAGTCCGAGACTTACTATTGCTAGACAAAAAACTGAGAACAATTTAGACAACTTTAGTACTTAGTTGTTGTTGTTTTTTAATTATGTCATTTAAAGGTTATATCGAAATGTTTTAATGATAAAATCAAACAAATTAAAATAAAACTTAAACTGAGTCAAAGTCCAGATTTTTTAAAAAACTTTTATTATTATTTTTTTAAAAAAAAAAAACAAAAAAATAAAAAAAAAAAAAAAAACCTGAAGCTGAGGATGTTTTTCAAAACCAGATTTCTTGTTACCCACAACAAACCTCCATCCTTTGTGTCTTTTCTTCTCCTTTTACTCATTTCTTGCTATCGGAGTAACATTGAAACACAGAAGTAAAACACTCAGAGGCAGCTATTGTATATTTTACATGAGAGAAAAATGGAAAAAAAAAAAAAAAGAATTCACACTTTATAGTGTCTTTTAAATTGACCTATTTTTGACTGTCTGTTTAAAACAGTTTAGGAAACAAAGCAACCCGTTCTGAGCTGTGAATTTTTGTTCACACGACTAAACCAGTGGCATCAAGGTTATAAACTAGTGCTGTCAGGGTTAATCTCGTTAAAATGACGTTAACACCATAACCGCATTATCGCGGCAAATCTCCGTTAGTGAGTTAATGCGGGTCGCCCCGCATTAGAGCGTTAACACATTAGTGCCGTCCAACCCCACGCACTACAATACATGTGTGGAACCCCACAAAACAACAGTTGGTCAGAGAATAAGTGAATAACTACACATAATAATGTTAGGAAAATCTCTTGATGTTTAATGTGTCTGAAAGAAAAAAAAATCTGCCAGTATATCATAATATTGGATTTTTAGATTACCAATATCGGTATTGGTATCGTTCTTCAAAACCCTATATCGGTCATGCGCTGGTTATCTGAAAGTGTTTTTTAGTTTTTTACAGCTTGATCTAAAGCACCAGAATTTGACCTCATGCAGCTCCAAGTTTATGCCTGTGTAAACGTCGTTGTGAACTTTTGCAGCAGTTTCACCAAAAGCCATGAAAGCAAAACTAAATATCAGCACTTACGGGTGGAGATGGAGACTCAGTGCAGAAATAGTTCTTCACAGCACTTCTCCTCCTCCTCCTCCTCCTCTTCTTTTAATCAGAGCTTTTCTTCTTAAAGTATTCTCTCAGTGGAAATATAAATATCTCCTGTTGCTTTATCTACATTATACTGACTTTGTACTTTTACTCTACTTTCATTTTCAATCCGTCGGAGGCCAAGACTCCAAATGCAGTATCTTTGTGTAACTGTATATAAATATATATATTTGTCCTTTTATGCTTTTTTTTCTCCAAAGTATGTATTGTCATATATTGTGTATTTTAATATTGTATTGCCTTAACATGACCCACGCTTATCATTTTTTTTGTACATTTTCTGCACATTGCATATGTATGTAACCTCCTGTTATGATGTTTTTTTATTATATCTTGTGGCTTTACCGTCAATATTTGGCTTTAATTGTGTATGAGTGTTTGACTCTTTACATGCTCACCATATAAATTAAATGTGATCTGATCACACAATGACTTTATTTTATTTTATTTTTTTGTGAAAACAAAGTTTTTCTAAACCTCCTTTAGGAAAATTTGGGATTAAAAATAAAACAGTGGATTGAAATTCATAAATACATATTAATTAATAATTAATAACGAATAAAGTGATTAATAATACACTATAATATAATATTACTGGTTTGGATTGTTGTGATGATTTCCACAGTGGCCACTAGATGACAGTGTAACTATTTTGGTAAGTTTGACTTTTTCCTTGAAGTTAAACTTTAAGTTGATTTCTGCAAATAGGGCTAGAAAATATATTTATAAAAAAAATAAATACATACGTAGTTGTATGCTTTATGGACAGATAGATGTTTTGACTGTGATATACAATTAAAATTGTGACAACAAATGTATTTAAAATTGCTCAAAAAGCTAAAGTTTTTCCAGTATATATGCTAACATGAGGCAATCGACCTTTAATGCAGCAATAGCACAAAATAAGTTGCTGGTAAATACATTTTTTTTTAAACTTGACATCGTAGAAGCCTAATTTAAGAGTGAATCCTTCTAAAATTGATGACATTTTTCTGCTTTTGAAACATTTAAGATTGCCCTTGAAACACAATTAAAGAACTCATATAGTATATATAGAGTCCGCTGTACAAATCCATAAGCACAATAAATTGCAGCTTGCAAGCTTTAAAAAAGTGCTGGTTGGAATTCCGATTAAAACACTGCTATTTTAAATTCAACTGATCATTATTGTTTTCCTTACAAACAAACAAAACCTTTCCTGCAATTTTTAAACATACAAAAAATGTATAAAAATGTATTTAAACAATGTATAATAATAATAATAATAATCCAGAAAAACTTTGTGGTTCATATTTTGTTATATTATGTAAAACAAAAAAACATAAACAAGGAAATGAATTTTAACATCAGAAAACAACAACATGTACATTTATGATGTTGAAAAATGTTGCTTTTTACATTTTAAATGAAAACTCGGCGACGTTTTTTTTTGTTTGTTTTTCTTCTCTTACGTCACCTCTGACCCGAAGCGCGCTCTCGGCTTCAAATCAGTGCCCAGAAAGGTGCCCGGGAAGCGCGCGCCGGTCAGAGAGCAGAGTAGAGAGACAGCAAACAGGGAGGAGCGCTTTGAGGACGACAACTGAAATTTATCGACGATTCTTACAGTTTTTGGATGTGTCAGGATGTGAAGCTCAAACTGTTTGTTTTTAAATGCTGGATTTGAGCCGCCGGCGGGGCGCCATGGACGGGATAAACCGGTGACGGTACCGTTACTACTTTGACATTCCTCACCGGGAGCCTCGGTGCCTTAGCTTCACTGTGAGTTTATCTATGGCGTCTGTTTCAGCCCTTTGAATTAGCGCTGTAGTTATCACGGTTCTGGCTAACGGTGACGGCCCGGGATGTTGCACATTAGTCGGTGAGAACAGGTGTTGGTGATCCGTGGTTTCTGGACCAGTTTGATGGATTTCCTCCAGCTTCACTGTGAATAAATCAGCGAGATGTATGCCGGGCGGAAAAGAAGAAAACCGGCCCAGAAAGGGTACGTTATGAAAAACTATATTTGTTATCGTGAACGCCATGTAAGTAGCAATGAAGTGGGTCTGTTGTAAGCTTTATTTTTATACACAAATATTATATTATTATTTAAATATGAAATATATATATATATATATATATATATATATTGTGATGTTATGAAGACAGGCACAAAAAAATCTTTTTTAAATGTTTATGTAAAACACTACAAATTTATAGTGTCACTAGCATGTTACAGATCGATGGATACAAATAAAAAGGCAACAATTGTTTAATAGTAACAAATATTAGCTTTTGATACTGACAGCAATGTTCCATGTTATTTTTGTTATCATTATTATTATTATTTGTAGTAGTAGTAGTAAAAGTGCACTTTTACTAGTGGTGGTTTGTTATCTGCTGTAATAAAAAAATGTATTTCTTAGATTATGAGATGACCAGAAAGACTTCTCTTTTTCCTGTATTTGGGAAACTCTTTTTTGCTACAGCAGTTACTATATTAATATTATTGCTAACAGGGGATGGATGGATAGTAATCCAGCCATTAATATTGTTATTATTTTTATTATTATTAAATAACAATTATAATGGATGGATGAATTACTATGCTGATGCCCAAATAGAGGTGTGGTAGTACCCCCGTGTCTTGCCCTAAGAAAGCTGGGACAGACTCTCATAGGACACCAGTGCCAGGCTCCCTCGACCCTGAATTACAGAAGCAAAAGAAAATAATATCTGACATATGCCTCTCATCCGGACAGATGTATTGCATTTCACATGTGGCTTTGAGCCCCACACCAAAACAAACACAGTGAAAAATGCAGTGAGTGCCATCTGTAGAATTCACAGAGCATTCCTATGTCCATAAGTGCCAAACTATATAGGATTTGGGATTTTTAAGACTGATACCAATACCGATATTTGGCCGTTTAAAATTCTGATATGAAAGTTGATATTTTTTTGTCTTTCAAAATCAAAACACAAATAGATTTCTCTTAGTATTTGCTACATGTAGGAATTTATGACTCCTTACTATGATAACATGACAGTGCAGTTGAAAATAATCATGTCTAATTTTTATAACATTTTGACTCTGCTCCCTTTAGTTAGTTGTTGCAAACAGGGTAGTTGCAGAGCACCGTCTGGTGGACAAACTATGCAACGAAATTCTCCAATCTCTTCTTCGCTTTTTTACTTTTCAGTTATCAGCCATTATAAATGTTGATACCAATATATTGGCAAACAACTAATATATATATAATTTTATTTATATATTGGCAGTCAGAATTATGATCTGAATGCATTGTTGTGCCAAACACATTTTGCTTTTCCAAGGTTAGCTCTATAATTTATCTTGTTCAGGGTTTGTCGGTTTATTGCTTCATTTCTCTTCATGTTATTTAAAGTTGTTACATTATATGTGGTATACAGGGACTAGGGTAAGATGTAATAAAAGGACAGAACAAAATAGAAATGTGTAATGTATCACCAACTGCCGCACCTGTAAGAAAAACAAACATACAACACCTGTAACTCAAACATTCGAAAATGCACAGGTACATAAATCAGCAATCTTCTTGTGGGATCTGTGTCTGTGTGTGTGAGAGCGAAAGAGAGAGAGTGTAGAGTGTGTGTGTGTGTGTCTATGTTATGAAATGTAAAATGAAAAAGAGGGTGGGAAGCCTCAATAATGCTCCCATAAGCCAGAGAGAGACAGAGATGGATCCAGGAAAACTGTAAAAATGTCTTGATTTCCAGAGTCAAACCGCCCCCCATCGAAGGCGCCAAATCCAACCCATCCAAACGCCACCGTGACCGCCTGAACTCGGAGTTGGACCAGCTCGCCAGCCTCTTGCCCTTTCCCGAAGATGTCATATCGAGCCTGGACAAGCTGTCCATCCTGAGGCTCAGCGTCAGCTACCTGCGCACCAAGAGCTTCTTCTCAGGTAGGAAACACTGCACAGGCTCACCTTTAGAAACACTGAGCTTTACTTTTACCCGTTGTTCAAGGGCTATCTTTAAGTTACCTTTGTTCAAGGTGGACTAAATGGCGGAACAAGAACACTGTAAAAGAAAGGAGTGTGCTTGATTTATAAGTCCAGAAAGTCAGCTGTGGGATTTCTTTGTGGTCCAAGACATCATCTAGTTTAGGCCTAAGTCCTGTTTCCTTCACAACCACCTCTTTTTCCAATTTTATTTGTTCATTTATTTATCGTTTCTATTATATTTTAAGTTCAAGGAAGTCCAATTTAAAAACCATACTTTTTAAAGAATTCAATCACTGTGTGGTGTTTGTCAGGTTATTGAATAATCATGTTGAATACACTTATTATGGGTTTTGCCATAAAAGAGCATCTCTGCTGTAGCTGCCAGTAGCTCCTCACAGGAAGTTGACTGCATCTTTGCAGAGTGAAGTGATCTCGACTTAAAAAAGTGCAAAAGATGCATCTTGAACTTGAGAGAGATGCAGAAAGAAAGAGAAGGTGGCAAGTGACAGCTTTGCCCTTTTCCTTCCTCGCCTCCTGAAGTAGCTTTTCACACCTCACAAAGAACCTGCAGACACTGAGGCAGAAAGCATGCAGACAGAGATGGGGCCGAGAGGGTTTTAAGTACACAGAAAGGAGGTCAGAGAGACGGTCTGCCGGCCAGAGCAGACGGGAGAGTCAGGAAGGTTTTTACTGTTGTAAGGCAAAGAAATGATTCATCAGATGGAACATCAGTCACTTTAACACAGCTGTTTATGATGTAGCTGAACCAAATTTTATATAAGTGAGGCTCTGATGCAAGGTAGCTGGGACTAAGTTGGGTGATTACAGTTCCTCCTGTGGCCTCCTCTCTCCTTTGTCCTTCAGTTGCATTTTAGGAATTAAAACCTTCAGTGTGTTGTAGTAAGACTAATGTCTAGGTCACAGGTAGGAGGACAGAGGAGACGTTTTGGTTTTTTTTGGGGGGGGGGTGTCCGTGTAGTTTCCATGTTTTGAGTGCAGACTTTGCTGCTTGCCTTTCTGTCCTCTTTGGGACTCTGTCATTGGTTAAATAAAATCCTGCTTCCTCCATTACAACCCACACCTTGCCAAACAGTGCAGACTAGATCTGACCAGATGCAATATATACACTCACCAGACACTTTTTTCAGTCCACCTGTTCAGCTACTCGTTAATCAGCCAATCACATGGCAGCAACTTAGTGGGTTTAGCAACGTGATCAAGACCACCTGCTGAAGTTCAAACCGAATATCAGAATAATAAAGAAAGGTGATTTAAGTAAATTTTAACATGTTGTTGTTGTTGTTGGTGTTTCACAAACTGCTGATGTAGTGGAATTTTCCCACACAACCATCTCTAGAGTGTACAGCGAATGGTGTGAAAAAGAGCCACAGTTCTCTGGTTGAAAATGCCTCGGTGATGTCAGAGGTCAAAGGAGAATGGTCAGACTGCTGTGAGCTGATAGGAAGGAAACTTAATCAACACTTGTCAAAACCAAGGTATACAGAAGAGCATCTCAACAGTAGCAGAAGACCGCATCGGTTGCCACTCGTGTCAGCTAAAAACAGGAAACTGAGGCTACACAGGTTCACCAAAACTGAACAAAACACACGTTGGGTCCCTTAGTACTAACTGACATCATTTAAACACCACAGCCTACCTGAGTATTGTACCACAGTGTACCATCTTCTGATGGCTGCTTCCAGCAAGATAACGCACCATGTCACAAAGCTCAGATCATCTCAAACTGGTTTCTTTAACATGACAATGAGTTCACTGTACTCAAATGGGCTCCACAGTCACCAGATCTAAGTCCAGATAGGACCTTTGCGATGTGAAGCCAACAAATCTGCAACAACTGTGTGATGCTATCATGTCTATATAGACCAGACTGAGGAATGTTTCCAGCACCTTGTTGAAGTGATTTTCAAAAA